AGGGGATGAGTTTGTTTGGGATTATTTTTTTAATATTCTTGAAAAGGGGTTAATTTGCATACAATAAATTTTTTTTTGTCATATTTTTATTTTTGTAGACAAAAATGTGATTGCCTGTATAAGACTAAGGGTGAAACACCCATTTTTTTTCCCCCAAGAGACATGGAAAAACAAACTTTTTATACACCATACAAATTTGTAATTTCATAAGCTTCTCAAAAATTAAAAAAAAATAATAGGGGTGCCATTTGAAAAAAAAAAGTCAAGGGTTGTAAATAGGGGATGATTTTTTCAAGCGATGATTTTTTATATTTTTGAAGAGAGCTTATAATAAGTCATTAATAATTTTTTTTGTTTCAAATTTTTATTTTTTAAAATAAGAAAGTTATGGCCTGTAACGTTGATTGTGGGACACCCTGTATATACCAAATTTGAGCTCAATCCCTCAAAAATTGCAGAAGCTAATATAAAGAAAAAAACATATTGAAATTTGAACACCCTGTAGATCGGTAACGGAGCGTTTGCGGACCAAAAGCTTGTTTCACGAGGGTTTGTACTTACGTCATCATGCCTTCCCTTGAAACAGCAATTGTCGACCCTTTCTGATTACCCTGAGAGAGCTCGCATTTATGCTATGGTTATTCCGTTAAACCCATTTTTTTTGTTTATTCCGTTCTGTTCTGTCTTGTGATTGTTTTTTTGTTGAATTTTCACCTGAAGTACAGTACATAATTATTATTTTTATTATTTGGTGAAGTTTATTGTTTAGTTTTGTGTTGTCCTGTGTTGTTCGAAGTTCATTGTTTGGAGCTGCACAAAAAAACACAACACACAAAACACAACAGAACAACGAAAAACCCGTCAAAATCTTCCATTTTGGGTATGTCTCCTTTATTTACTTTTTCAGACAAGAACAGAACATAATAACCTAGCTCCAAAGGTAGGTTAAAAATGGTTGAACCAAAAATAAAAACAGCTGATTTAATACGTCACCAAGGGCCAAATGATGACGTCACTACGAAATGATCAAAAATAACCAAAACCGCGTTTACGTGAATGGTAATACCATTTTTGACTCGGTTATTAATATTCCATCACGTTTAATCGGCTCATTAAATTTGTCAAAAAAATTAGGCACTAGCTGACGTCACACATAGAGCCTCATTTTCGTTGGGGGATAAACAATGTGTCACATGACGTAACGTCACGTTCAATGTGTGTGACGTCAGCTAGTACCTAATTAATCTACGACAAACTAAACCCGTTTTTCGAAGTTATGACGTCATCGATAACGTAGGTACAAACCTTCGTGCAAGGAACTAGGTATATGTTTATTTGAAATTTCAGACATAAAAAAACTTATTTAATAAAGAAGGAAGGCAAATGATGACGTAAATACAAACCCTCGTGAAACAAAGTTTTTTTTTACGCGCGTCAGTCACTTTCCATCAGACCCCACCAAAAAAAAAAAAGTGCTATAGCACCCCTCAAATTTGGAGCCTAGTTGCGCCTATGATTATTACCTTTGTACTTTTTTGCTTCTATTGCTATGGTAGTTATGATGATTAATTATTTAATTAATTACCTAATTACTTTATTTTTTAAAGGTCCGCGATTGGCGCACGGAATATCTTCACTAGATTGGTGAACTGATAACATCATAACCTCTCGATGTTCGATTTAGAACAGGCCTCCTAAATAGAAAATGCAGACTTACCCAAAATAAGCAGTCCGTCTAGTGCTATCTTGTAAGTTGGCATTTTATTTAAAAAACAAAGTGCGCTCGAGAAACGCTATGCTCTAAACAAACTAAATAAACTTGTTTCTTTTTTAATGAAATGGTATCTTATGAGAACTAGATCCCACCAGATGGACAGGTTAGTTTGAGTAAGTCTGCATTTTCTGTCTATTAGAAATAATTTATTCGTGCTGAAACATTTTGAAATAAAAACATTTTAAAAAAAAATCGAAATTTAGGTTTCCGAAAAATGAACATGAAACCTAGACCCTGAATTTTATTTTTCTTTATAAATTGTCAATTTTTTAGGAAGGGCAGAGCAGAAAGTACCTACATATTTTTAGTTCACGATAACCGATAACATTAGGGCTTGAAACTTAACAAATTTAACAAATGATCAGCTGATCAATGATCAGCTTAGCTGCTTTCCAGTTCCTAAATTGCTCTTGAACTGTTCTACATAAGCAGCACTGGAACGCTGTCATGTGGTGGGTGGTAGCTTGTGACGTCTGACCAATTTTATTTGACATTTTGTTATGTTTTTCCTGTCCATCAATAGTTCCTTAGTGTTAGGTACTTAAATTACTTAAAATGTAAAAATTGAACAGGCTATAGAATATTTAACAATAAGAACAAAACAATTACCTACAATGACAAATAATAGGCAATCGTGAAAACCGAACGAAAATAACCTCAATTTTCTTAACCCCCATTTCGGACCCCTTACCCCTTAACCCCCCTTAACCATTTCGGACTTTAGGAGCATGAAACATCGAAATAAAGGTTGGTGCACGAGGACACAGAGGGGATAACAGAAATGAGTAGTTCAAGTGTACGACACTCTAAGCACTGGAACGCGCGAAGTAGTTGTGGAGCACTCCTGGAGCTGCTCAGGAGTAAGACCGTGTTTATGTTGGAGCTGTGATGCAAGCTAGGAGAGGGTCGATAATAGCGGTGATAAGAGCTATTCAAAAGTATCCTCTCAAAAGTATCAAAAAAGCGCTGCTCTACTCGCCGCTCCAACATAGACACCTGCGTACAAACACAGGCATTGTATTTCGTGCTTTGCTAGTATCGTTGCATTTATCGTTTAGCACAGCTCCAACATAAACAGGGCCTAACTCAAATGTGTCACTGGACAGAAGTTAAGAACCTCTGGGTGGAACAGGCTGAAACTGACAATATAGAAATGACAGGAGATGCGCGCGACTCCGAAGCCCTGTGACCGGGATACGGCTAATGTCTTGTGATTATCTACTCTACAATCGGGATATTTTAGTTTTTAGATATCTTGCGTTTTTCTCAAAATGAAAAGTGTATAAGTGGTTGCCTATTTTTCAGGGCTTAGGTTGCTATGGATTATTTCTCGCATGATATCGAATAAATAAAATATTCGGATTGTAGATAATCGATAAAAGAAAATTTATGCCAAATTTGAGACAATTCTGATGTGAGGTTTTTTTAACTTGCAGATTTCAAATTCCTTCAACGCCCCCTTAACCGGTGTATAATTTCGTAATATTCTATTAGGACTGTTCCAATACGTCAGAACCCTTCCCATAAACGGTTTCGGAACCACTCTGTATCCGAATTTTGGTTTCTACGCACATATTTAGGGCTTTGCGCAGAATCGTGACAGTACATTGTACGGTTTCCTGTTGTGTTGGACGTGGAACAAAGCTATAGACAACACTGGGTTGGTGCGTGTTATGTTGGGACTTGTGATGTGAGTTTGGCAGTTTGGTGTGGTGCGCGAATAGACATAATATATTATATTTAAAGGTGCGTACAGACTGGGCCAACGAACGCCAACGAATGAGATTCGGCGATGGATATACCGAATATTCGTTGGCCTTCGGAAAAACGTCCATATTGCATTCGCTGTCTGAGCAAACGTTCATTGGACACGAAACCGCAAAAATCAATGCGCGAATGGATTACGAAGTTAATATTACTTATGCTGCATTTATATTTCTCAATGAAGAAGAAGAAGAGAAAACACCAGAACCAAAGGGCAAACGGAGGTGGTGGAGGACGGCATTATTTTGAAAAAAAAAAGCACGTGCATTCACTGCACCGGAGATTTAAACTAAACGCTTTCATCGCTCGTTCGTTCGGTGGCTGAACCCAAGGATGATACACTCTACTACTACAGGATAGAGGATAGCTTATTAGGGTTTCCATAAAGGTTTTCTGGAATTCAGGAAAAAGGAGTCAAGAAATCCGGACAAAATCCAGACTTCGCCAAAATAGCTATTTATGCAACAAGTGTGTAAAGTGAACCTTTTTTCACGAATATGAAATTTCACGCACGAGCCGAAGGGACACACGTATTGCATACAATTTTTTTTCCACTACCAATGAATTTATGTACACACAAAAAATTAGACAAATACTTTACGCACTAGTGCACGTTACTAGAAAAAAAAATGACCGTGTCGACATCTGTCATTGACTTACACTAGTGTGGAAGTGTGTAAAGTGAATTACTTTACATACTAGTGCGTGAAGTGAAAGGCGGGTCCTCATGTGCGTAATTGTCGCGTAAAAGCGTAACCGCATATTTGCGCGCGTTTTAGCGTACACGTCCTAAAGCAACAAGAGTTTACCATAAAAAAAACGAACAAACTACTGCTATACCAGTGTTTGTTTTTGTTCCGAGTTGTCATATTTTAATTTAACAAACATAAAATGTTTATATATTGTTTATCATAAAGTTTTTTTTTTTTTTAAAGATAAATCCCCAAGTCAAAAATGTAGTAACTATGTTGGCAACACAAGCCTTTTCTACATAAAAAAATTGAAAGCATTGACAATTTTACATTTTATTGCCAACATAATGTCATTTTGACTTTTATTTTAAAAAAAAACAGACTTTATTATTTTCTGTGGTTTATCATCACAAATCCGCCAAAAACAACAAAAAGTCACGCTTACGTCAAAATTACGCTCATGCCTCACAATAATCACAAGCATAAGCGTTGAAGTCTGCTTCGGGCGCTTCGGCATTTTCAATGTCCCTGCCGGTTGCATCTTTGTGAAGGCCTGTGATTTTTTTATGTTATATCGACGATATCACATTTGTCGGACAAAAATCTCGTGGCATTGGGGGGTCCGACGCCCCGAACATGAGGCCACAGCAACATGCAACATGTTGGGAGCGTCGGACCCCCCCCTCAATGCCATGAGTATTTTGTAGACAAAAAATGTGATATCGTAGTTAACATAGAAAACAGTCGATTGGAATTAAAACTACACGTACATGTATCACCGTTCTCGGGGACGACAGAATAACAACTTCACGAAAAGCTAGAGCTAGCACGACAAAGTCCCATCGCCCAGGTTGAAGATATGAACAAAATTGTCCGACTTGGTGTTATGAAGCCGCTAAGGAATTTCAGACCAGAAGTGGGCCCTATTCTCATTCTGGGGCCCGCGCCCGTCATCGAAGAAGCCCCAAATTGAAGGGGCCTAACCCAGGTGGGCCTGTGACCCATGGGCCACATGCATGTCTCCGCTGCTAGACCCGTGGCCCCATTTTTCGGGGCCCCATTTACATGAACTCATAACCCTAAATTTGAAGATGACAGATGCGATGCTGCCAAAACTGATAATGTGCGACGTTGCCAATGGACGTGGGTCCCATTTTTCGAAAGCCCCATTCCAGTGACGTCAGCAAAGGGTCACATGCTTGTCCCCGGTGCTAGACCCCCGGCCCCATTTCTCGGGCCCCACATTTACATGAACTCATAACCTAAAATGTGATACCCCATACTAGAGGTGGGCCAACCTGCGATTTTACTGGAACTGTGACAAGACGTGACTGCTCCAGTCCTGTCACGGTGACAAATAGCAGTGATTTTTTGGAGCAGTTTATCCTTGATTGGCCGTACTGGTAATACATTTAAATCCTACATTACATAATCGCAGTCCGCCCAGTTCGCAGTCACGACCGAGAAAGATGTTCCAATCTGCCCTCTACAGTAGCAGTTTCTATTTTGCGTCACCGCGATGCGATTTATAATAATATGTGATAATATTTTTTCATTATTTCCACCACTGTCTTGAGTTTAGTCCGCGCTGTATCGATCAGAGATCGAAGCGGCCGTGACAAAATGTCACTGCTACTTGAGTGAGACTGGAGCAGTCTGTGACTGTGACAGACCAGTAGCAGTGACAAAGTCACAGTTCGTGAAATCGCAACTCACCTCTACCCCATACAAGATGGCAGATACGTGCGACGTTGTCAAAACCAATAATGTGCGACGTTCCCAATAAAATGCCCCTAAGTCTAGGGAAAAATCGGAAACGGGCCCCTTGTCTCCGCTGCTAGACCCGCGGCCCCATTATCCGTATATGGAACCAATACAAGCAAGCCCCAAATTTTGAGGCGCACGTAACCTAGAACTCATAACCTGAAATTTGATACCCAGTATCTCGTGCTGGTTACCTGAAATTTGTACCACGTACCTAGAACTCGTAACCTGAAATTTGGTAACCCATAACTCGTGACTTGTAACAAGATACATCGTACTGGGCCCCTATTTTTCCGGTAGCCCCCATTTTTCTAAAATAACGACAGACGTTTTTGTGAAAATACAAAAAAAAAACATTGTTTTTTACTGAGCTCTAGCGCGAAGACCGCTTAATTATCATGAAATCAAAGATGACGAGTGTATTTTTGTAGGCTTTTGGCTATGAAGCCGACCTCCTACAAGGTAGCAGACCATAAATTTGGATAAAGCACCCTCGAAAATATATCTATAAAACCGTTGAAAAAAAAAACGCAATTTTGTTAAGAAAAAGATAGATTTTTAACTTGACGCGTAGATGCTAGATGGCAGCACAGTCGACAAAATATCAGCTTACCGATGGCTGATAGAACCACCTGTAAAAATTCCCTGGTCCAATCACTCACCTCGGCGTAGGGGCTACCGTGATCAACAAGGCGGTGCCCCCGGGGGGAAGGCCCTTCCATTGCACCACGGTTGGGCTGACCCCTGCGATTATCCCTGATGCGGGGATACTCTTGCGTCTAATTTTTGGAATCGGGACATGCGTAAGCGCAGTCCCGGATGAAATTATTTAAACAAAAGAACGACAACAAGCGTCTGTGGTTCAAACGGAGGCTACGCCACGAATATGGACTATCACTAGAGTCTAGCCCAGTGGCTCCCAACCCAACCTTTTTTTAGTCACGACCATTTTTCAGATTTCCTTATAAGGTCACGACCCCCTCTACCCATTAATAAATAATAAACAAATTACTGAGTTTGCATCCGCGTAACATGTTTTGGAATTTTTGGTTGAGTTTTTTTTTAAGCCAATCTCATTTCATCTTGACCGTCCAGTCTATTTCTGGCCTTTGTATTAATTTGTGAAAGAATTGGAGAACCACTTTCACAAAGGTAGGTAGATACAAATGGTATTTGTGTTCGGAAAAAAAGCAGGGTGACATTAGGATATGAACTATGCATGACACACCAAAATTCGAGCAAGGGTTTTTCCTGCAATATGGCAAGTGCTGAAAAATCATTCCTCAGCTGTAAAAACTCATCCTGCACTTCATCAGGAACGTCAGCAGCATCTAACAAGGCATGAAACAGGTTCCTTAGTACTGCAGCTTTTTGTTCAGATAGCTCGAGAAAATACCGCTGCATTTTATTCTCAAGGGATTGAAGGTGATAGTCAATTTCCTCTTTTAGATTTTACACAACTTCTGTTGATGATGCTTCAGCCACAGGGACGTAGCAACAGGTCGTGCAAGTCGTGCCGCGCACAAGGGCCCGGGCCCCGAAGGGGCCCGGTGGGTCCTGTCACTTTTTGGACACAAGGAAAAAAATCATATCACCACCAAGGATGATAAACACTACTACTACAGGATGGCCTATCCTCATAAGGCCTGTCCTGTGTGTAACAAATCCCCCCCTCCCCCGCGCCTAATCACCAGTTGTGACGTAGGCAGCATGTTATTTCTCGCCTTGACGTAGGCTGTTTAAACAGCTGACGTCGGAAATGGTGACACACCAATATGACGGCGATTAGCAAAAACGAGGCCGATAGGCAATCCTATTCCTGTAGGTGTGTATCATCCTTGTAGTTTGTAGTATCACCACGTCACGCCCCCCCAAGCAATAATTCTTCGCTTTGGCGATTTCTAACCAAAACATAAAATTGTAATATCGATTTCTTTTCAGTCAGCCCTCCGAGTCCCAGTACAAGGTTGTCTGAGAGAGGTAGATTGCCTGATAACTTTTATGACGTCATCTGGGGTGCCTCGACATAATGCAAATCCGAAGTTCCTGAAGTTACCAGGTTGTCTGGTAATGGGTAACTTACGATGGCTCAGAAGGGACATGACTATGTTTTATTGTATTAAATCTCGCACTGCCAGATTCAAATACGCACTGCTAGATTTAATCTCGCACTGCTAGATTTAAAGACGCACTGCGAGATTTATTCTCGCACTGCTAGATTTAAAGACGCACTGCGAGATTTAAAGACGCAGTGCGAGATTTATTCTCGCACTGCTAGATTTATTCTCGCACTGCTAGATTTAAAGACGCACTGCGAGATTTAAAGACGCACTGCGAGATTTAAAGACGCACTGCGAGATTTATTCTCGCACTGCTAGATTTATTCTCGCACTGCTAGATTTAAAGACGCACTGCGAGATTTATTCTCGCACTGCTAGCTGCTAGATTCAAAGACGCAATGCCAGATTTAAAGACGCGTCAACGAAATATCTGAACGTATGGTTCTTGAACATCCTCCGCATGTTTCTACAGATGTTATAGTCCAAGAGCCCAGAGCCGCCAGACACAACTTATTTTCTAAAGGACAGAATATGTGGGATTGTGTAGCACTTATATGTACTATGAACGTATGTATACCCGCTAAGTTGGGTAGACGGCCAATTTACCGACACCAGGTGCGAAAGCTTAAGAAGTACTTTAACTTTTTTTGTAACGCTTGATTTTTATACATGTTATTGGGGAGACTATTTCATAACTACGTGTGCTCAGCCAGACCAATCGCACCGACCAAACATCCCCCCAGACGCAATAATAGTTTTTCCGTGAGTGTGAGCGCGAGGGTACTATGCATGCGTTTGAGAGTGAGCGAGATATCTATTTCCCCCTCTTAAACTTACAGTCTACTCCAGGCTAGAGTAGAAATGGGATTCGGTTTTTCCCATAATGGGAAAAACCGTTATTAACAAATAACAGTCAACTGGCCGTCTACCCAACTTAGCGAGTATACATACGTTCATAGTAGCTATAAGTGCTACTCAATCCCACATATTCTGTCCTTTAGAAAATAAGTTGTGTCTGGCGGCTCTGGGCTCTTGGACCATTAGAAAGAAACCAGATATAACCCGTGGATTATTATTTGTATAACTAGCTTTTAACCATATAATAGGTCTGTTTCTGCAGAGATCACAAACCAGTCAGAGCGAATTTCATTGGTTGAAAACAGTCAGAAAACCAGTTTCAACCAATGAAATTCACTCTGACTGGTTTGGGATTCCTGCAGAAACAGACCTAATGTGACGTGAGTATCCATCAAATACAACCACTTATAGCAATACCGTAAGGTTTTAATTTATCGTAACTATCTATATGCCACAAGAAGTTTGGCCCCTTACTGAAATATTGCATTCTTCGCAGTCGTCGTCTTCTGCGCAAAGACACTCCCTCTGGATCTAATTCTTTCAGTAAGAGTCTTACTGTATTTCGACGAACTACTAAACTAGCTTGCAGACATTTTAGATACATCCATTTATATCCATGTAATTGAAAGCTTGTCTCTTACTGGTTCCCGATAAAGTCCAATATTTCAGTTGGATTGGAGTAATATAGTATAAAGGTTTTCTTCTGTACAATTTTAAGTCCTTCAAAACACGTTTCAAGTGTCTGGCGCTAATGTCAATATAACTGGAATGGATGAACCCAAAAACCACGGCAAATACTACCACTCTGAGTTGCAATAACGCTTATCTTGTAGCGGTAATTGATTTAAATCTGGCAGTGCATCTTAAAATCTGACAGTGCAAAAATAAATCTGTCAGTGCGTCTTTAAATCTAGCAGTGCGAGAATAAATCTCGCAGTGCGTCTTTAAATCTAGCAGTGCGAGAATAAATCTCGCAGTGCGTCTTTAAATCTGGCAGTGCGAGATTAAATCTCGCAGTGCGTCTTTAAATCTAGCAGTGCGAGAATAAATCTAGCAGTGCGAGAATAAATCTCGCAGTGCGTCTTTAAATCTGGCAGTGCGAGATTAAATCTCGCAGTGCGTCTTTAAATCTAGCAGTGCGAGATTAAATC